CGGTGCCGCCATGCGAACTTTGCCGCTTGGGCCTTCGGTGGAGCTCCCCCCTGGGGCCACGAAGCGTGTGAGGGGTGCGCCGAAATGGAGCGGGGCCGACATGCGAACTTTGCCACTGGGTTCTTCGGCGGAGCTCCCCATGGGGCCACGAGACGTGTGAGGGGTGCGCCGAAAAGAGGCGGGGTCGGCATGCGAACCCTGCCACTGGAGCCTTCGGTGGAGCTCCCCCCTGGGGCCACGAAACGTGTGAGGGGTGCGCCGAAGTGAGGCGGGGCCGGCATGCGAACTTTGCCACTGGGGCTTTCGGTGGAGCTCCCCATGGGGCCACGAAACCTGTGGCGAGGCCGCCACGCGAACTTGGCCACTGTGGCTTTCGGTGGAGCTCCCCATGGTGCCACGGGACGTGTGAGGGGTGCGCCGAAGTGGGGCGGGGCCACCATGCGAACTTTGCCACTGGGACATTCGGTGGAGCTACTTATGGGGCCACGAGACGTGTGATTCCATAGGACTCGCTCGCGATTCCGGAAGGATCCCGGAAGTCTCGACGGTTCTCATCAAGGATTATTGTATGTTTTACGATTGTTCCAGGTCCCGTAGGATTTCTAGGTGCTCCTGGGGGGGTCCTCTCTTTGATTGCTACAGATTTTTGCGCGTTTCTTGAGGATCCTTGAGGTGCTCGGGGGTCCTGAGAACGCAATGCATTCTGGAGTTGTCCCAAGTTTTCTGAGAATTCCGAAAGATCCCCCTCTAGAGGATTCCGGAGGACCTCAATGGACGGTTGAGGTTCCCATCAGATTCTTGGGGGGTCGGAAGGATTCCGTCGGATTCCCGGGCGCCCAGGGAGATCCCTGAGCCTTCCTAAAGATTCCTCAAAGTCCACATGGTTCCCACGGATTCCAACGGATCCCTGGGGAATCTGACGATTCCCAAGAATCCCGTAAGCTCCGTAGCAGTCTCGAGGATTCCTAAATACTACTTGTTAGGATTACGCACGAATCCGTTGGAACCATCACCATTTCCCTGTCAAGATTTTCCACCAGGTTCTTGAAGAAGGATCCCTTACCAAGGCTTCATCCGTAAGGGTTCTTTCATAAGTGGTCGTTAGTCACGATTCCTTGCATACTTTGTCCTGACTATGGCTGAAAGGGCCCTTTACGAACGACGTATAACGAGAACTCCTTACGACTGACTATCTGCGAGTATTATTGTATGGAGGATCGGTGGTAAGGCGTCTCAACAACGTTTCCGGGAAAATTTGCGGATGGTTCCTTAGTACGGGTTCATTGTTGCGGATGTTGTACTAAGATTCCCATTGCACGATGGATTATTCAGTGCGCATTTCATTTGCTATCGGGACCACGTAATCGGGATCAAGCAATCGTTACGACTTCCTCCCTTGATCAAGGACCAACGATTCCTTAGCATGAAATCCCTATGAAGGGTTCGTACATCAGGAGCCCTGATCTATCATTATTCCGTAAGGATTCCTTAACAAGGTTGTTTTGTTTGATACGGATTTCTTACACCAGGCCTTTCAGGGTTCTTTATGCGGGATTTGTTCCCAATCATCCTGCGGTGTTGGGTCCTCGTTTTGAATGGATGGTCCCCGCGTTCCTCCTCTCCTCTCCTCTCCTCTCCTCTCCTCTCCTCCCCTCTCCTCTCCTCTCCTCGCCTCTCCTCTCCTCTCCTCTCCTCCTTCTCTCTCCTCGTCTCCTCCTCCTCCGCTTCCTCCTCCTCCTCCTCCTCCTCCTCCTCCTCCTGCTCCTCCTCCTCCTCTACCTCCTCCTCCCTCCTCCCGTCAACCCCCCAGTTTAGCACACCACTCACACGTTTCGTGACCCCATAGGGAGCTCCACCGAAGGCCCCAGTGGCCGCGTCCGCATGAGTCCTCCCCGCCCACCGCATGCCCACGTCGGCACACCCCTCACACGCTTCGTGGCCCCTTAGGGAGTTCCACCGAAGGCACTTGTGGCCGCGTCCGCATGCGCCCTCCCCGCCTACCGCATGCCTATTTCGGCATACCCTTCACACGGTTCGTGGTTCCATAGGGAGCTCCACCGAAGGCCCTAGTGGCCGCGTCCGCATGCGCCCTCCCCGCCTACCGCATGCCCATTTCGGCATACCCCTCACACGTTTCGTGGCCCCATAGGGAGCTCCACCGAAGGCCCCAGTGGCCGCGTCCGCATGCGTCCTTTTCCGCCCACCGCATGCCCATGATCCACCCCTCACACGGTTCGTGGCCCCATAGGGACGTCCACCGAAGGCACTTGTGGCCGCGTCCGCATGCGCCGTTCCCGCCCGCCGCATGCCCATGTGGGCACACCCCTCACACGTTTCGTGGCCCCATAGGGAGCTCTAGCTCCACCGAAGGCACTTGTGGCCGCGTCCGCATGCGCCCTCCCCGCCTACCGCATGCCCATTTTGGCACACGCTTCACAGGGTTCGTGGCCCCATAGGAAGTTCCACCGAAGGCCCCAGTGGCCGCGTCCGCATGCGTCCTCCCCGCCCACCGCATGCCCATCTCGGCATACCGCTCACACGTTTCGTGGCCCCGTAGGGAGCACCACCGAAGGCATTTGTGGCCGCGTCCGCATGCGCCCTCCCCGCCTACCGCATGCCCATTTTGGCACACGCTTCACAGGGTTCGTGGCCCCATAGGGAGTTCCACCAAAGGTTCCCAGTGGGAGGGTTCGCATGGTACCACGGCACCCAATTCGGCACACCCCTTCACACGTTTCGTGGCCCCATAGGGAGCTCCACCGAAGGCTCCAGTGGGAGGGTTCGCATGACACCACCGCGCCCAATCCGGCACACCCGTCACACGTTTCGTGGCCCCCAATCGGAGTTCAGCCGAAGGCTCCCGTGGGTGGATTCGAATGGCACCACCGCACACATGTCGATACAACCCCTCACACGCTTCGTGGCCCCAGAGGATGCTCCACCGAAGGCTCCAGTGGGAGGGTTCGCATGGCACCACCACGCCCAATTCGATACACCCCCTCACACGCTTCGTGGCCCCAGAGGATGCTCCACCGAAGGCTCCAGTGGGAGGGTTCGCATGGCACCACGCCCAATTCGGCACGCCCCTTACACGGTTCGTGGCCCCAGAAGGAGCTATTCCGAAAGTGGTACCCACAATGCGGTATTCGCAGTTGCATATGGTTGGGTCTTTCGTCAGGCTAATTGTTTATGGTTGTTCTGTTATTCGGGCCCTTCTCATCCTGCTGCAACCAGGATATCTTATCAAGGACTCCTTAGGGAGGATTCCCCAGGAAGAGTGCATTGTGAAGGGATATGCTTATTCAGGGCATTTTGCCATGAATTCCTTGATAATGGTTTGAGAGTTCGGATAGTTTAATTAAGGATTGCACATCCAAAGACGTGCCTTCGTATGGATCCGCTTCTGCGATTCCTTACTCAGTCTTCGGTAGTTGGAGTATTTCCCAGAAGGGGCTCGTAGTAAAAGAACCAGCGTATATAGTGCTTGCATACGGGTTTACCACCCACGGTTTTTTAACACCACTCTTTCCAAAGAAGTCGTTGGTGAGGAACCGTACTTCAACGAATTCTTGTCTAATATTCCGTCAGCGGGAACCATTGCGAACTATTCCTTATTCAGGGACCCGTAGTAATTACTTCCCTTGCTGGAACACATAGCGACGGATTTGCAATTCGGAACCCTTAGTAAGGAATATTGTTGTCAGGAAGATGTCCGATCAATTCTTAGGGATGAGCCATTTCAGAAAAGAACCTGTGTTTGGGATTCCTTGGTACCGATTCGTTGCGTAACGGCTCCTTTCAGGGAAACTCGTTTTGTTGGCGCACACATGCAAGTCAGCGAAGCGAGTCTTCTTGCTGTCAATCGAAAACAGTCGGGTCTGTTGTTTGAATCCGTCCGTCGTTGTGTTGTTGGGGGGGGGCGCATGAGGGGTGGCGATCAAACGGGGTCCCTGCCCCTCCCTAGGAAAGGGGGGCGCCCGCCGCATCCCACACCAATGTCGGGGGCCACATGCGAACCCTACCCCTACCCCCCACGATTTCTGAGGGGGAGGGTGGGGTTCCCTTCGTTCGGGAGCTCCCGAGCGAAGTGAACCCCACCCTCTGCTGTCGCCGTCCTCGCCTCTGCTGTCGCCCTCCTCGCCCCGTCTCTGCTGTCGCCGTCCTCGCCCGCACCCCGCACTCGGCCCACCCGCGGCCCGCCCTCGACCCGCCCGCGACCCGCCCGCGACCCGCGCACGACCCGCCCGCGACCCGCCCGCGACCAACCCGCGACCCACCTCCTTCCCCTCCTCCTCCTCCTCCTCCTCCTCCTCCTCCTCCTCCTCCTCCTCCTCCTCGGGTCGCCTACGGCCCCGGCGCCCAGATAATTCGGCGCCATCGGGAGCTTTGAGACGGGGGTCAGTGCAAACGGGGGTCAGCCAGGGCGCCGGATCCTGCAGGATCCTGCGAAGGCCCCCTCTGGCTGACCCGGGTCAGGGAGCCGCTCGTGGCCGCGAGGCGGCCGCGCGTATTGGCTGACCCGGGTTTGCGAGGACCTGCGTTGCAGTTTTTTTTTCCTGCATTGCAGTTTTTGGTTTCCTGCTGACCCGGGTCTGGATTGACCCGGGTCAGAAGATCCCCGACGCCAGAGGCTGCAGTGTGTAAACACAAGGGTTGCAGGGCGGGCTTCCCCAGAGCCTCGCCAATTGCCGGCGACCCCGCAGCCCCCTCGCTCTTATCCGCAGTTGCGGGGCCTATTGGTGCATTGTATGTTCCACCGCCGCCCCCGCGAGGACGAGGAGGAGGAGGAGAGGGGTTTAAGAAGGATGATGAGGAGGAGGATATGGAAGAGAAGGAGAGAGCACGAGGAGGGGGAGGAGGGGGAGTTAGGGGATGAAGGGGAGGAGGGGGAAGCGGTAATTCGGAGGGAAGGGGAAAAGGAGGGCACGAGGAAGAGGGGGGCGTGAGGGTGAAGGGAGGGCGGAGGAGGGAGGGAAGGGAAGAGGCGTGCCGCTCCCGAGGCGTTCTGGGCTGCTGGGGACGGGCTTCAGCGACAAGATTGCCGAGGCCATGATGTCCAGCTGCAGAGCCGTCATGCGCGAGTTCGGGGCCTGCCTTGCCTACACGCACAGCGAC